GTTCGTAAATTTAGCAGACGACCACGCTAGCACTGCACAATCGTGAAGACCCATCGCGACTATAATTAAGCTTCAACGATCGTTACTACCGTTATGAATAGGAAAGCTATAATAGACGTCGTGTGCGCTAACTATGCGCGAACACTCTAAACCCCCAAGTGTCTGTCGCTCCCTTTTCCCCATTTTCTCTTTTACACTTTAGCCTAGAATTGGCTTCGATTTAAGCCATACGAATATTATGATATTAAAATATTGAATATACTGACTATTATGGCTATAAGGATACGAATCTTATTTTCCATCGCAATAATTGTCACCCTCATTCCCGCCCGCCTGTTATGTTTTGGCTTAATTTCGGTACAACTATCGTGGTTACCATTTTTGCTTTGTTGGACAAAGGCAGTTAGCTTGTTAATGATCCTACTCCTTAGATAGATATCCTTGGCCGATCGTTGCTGTTCTCTCGAAAGCAAAGCAATCACATCTGTAGTCGCACAGAGAATTGGACAGCTGAATATTTCTTGGCCGTAACTTAAATATAGTAAGACTGCGCAAGTTTTCAACTTCAACTATTACGAGCAAACAACAGCCCAGTTTTGCGGCCACTCTGTCCCTTCTTCAGTATCCCTCACTACCATCCTGCTGTTATTGTTATTATATATGCCCTTTTCCAAGATTGCACTTATAATAGTGCAGTTGCAGATTCTAAACTTGCGATGAGCGGTCAGTGGTAATTTTCGATAGCTAAACTAACCGTTAACGGTCGACGCTGACGCCAATGCGTATTCATTACGTGCCGCTGTTTTCGTCTTTGTCGCAGCTGCTATTTCAGTCGCTTTTGTTGTTGTTGTGTGACTGACAATGTTTATTTTTAGAGCCGTTGTCGTCAGCATGTCTCAGTAGAAATCCTCGTCATTTTCCTCGCAATGAACGAACGAAAAGTCTGAAACAAACAAGCACAAATGCATATAACCGTATAGTGTCAGGGCGCACAGGCGTACTAACGTGCAAATGGCTAAATCGTGATAAAAACGAAGCTCACAATAAGCACGCGCTTATTATTGGTGGCCAAATACGACTGCTCTTGTCGTCACGGGGCCGATAATGGGGTTGGAGTCGGCATCTTTGCCAGCCGCGTTCGGCCTGCCGTTGACTATTGCGACCAATAATCAACGGCAGGCCGAACGTAAACAAAGCCATGCGATGTTGCCCCTGTAACCCTGGCCGAGGTAGCGGCCGAAATTCCGTTGTAGTCCATGATTGGAAAGTTTGTGAACAAGACTCAATATTGGTTCTTCAATGATTATTTGTTTGTCGAATGCGGCACTCACGATCAGATTACAACAATACAGTGATAGCTGTCGCCCGAGTCACAACGACTTCATTTCAGGCATGAAGTACATCGACGGAGAAGGTTCCGCTTGCGCAGAAAGCAGCACCCATCTAGTAGCAAGGCTTTGCAATCGGAAAGAACTAACGAATCACTCAATTTTTTTGAGTATCGACGCCGTGACAGATGCTAGAACCGCAATACCTTAACATCATTAACGTGGTGCTGGCAAAAGTACTCGATGAACGATTTGATGCCCGCCAAGCAATAAAAGCCAGCTGTAGGCCACGTTCGGCCTGGCGAATGTTGAGCAGTTTCGACAGGTGGGACAGGGTCGGCTTTAACAGGCTTGACAGTTCCAAGAAATCCGAACTAGACAACGTTTTTTGTTATAAATCCCATATGATCCTAAATAATGCAAATTTGAGGGTGGCAAAAGTGTTTAATTCCGGAGATAACCCATTAGACGGTAGCAGGTACTGCAACATAGTCACGACTCGAATTCGTTGGGGCATAAAACAAATGTGATTCAGCGCTGATGATTCTTATGAAGTTGCCCGTACAAACATTACTCTAATTAGAACTTCATGGGGCTAATTGAAAGTTGCAAACGTACTTAAAAACTTTTAACTCGGAGCAGAAGGGAACTGAGTCGGTAATTATAATTGGCTGCCAATTACAACTACTCTACTTTCATGGGCAGAAACATTTTACCTTCAGTAATGGTAGAAAAATATGAAGATAAAAATAATTTCAGAATATTACGATTGGATGAATGGTCAAAGCCATAGTAAAAATCTGCTAATTACCGAACCACAAGCCATAAAGTAAAGTGATAAAAATAATGAATCTATTAGCGGGTTTGCGTATTTTAAAAACGATTCTAAAAAATTCAATTTACGTATGCATAGAACGAACAACTTTTTTCCTTTATAGTCGTGCTGCCAGAAGTAGCCAGAACTTAGATCGGTGTTCCAACTTACAGTACTTTATTACAGCCATGGTGAAATCAAATGATCATATTCTTACGTTATAATCTTAACGCTTAGTATACTATATAAGTGTCACCTGTATTTTATGTTCAGCTTCCGTGACAGTGGTCACGTTGATTTTAGTCTGCGGGCTATATTGATAGCAATAGTGTTAGATTAGAGCGTGACACATGACGATGTGGAGAACGGTATGCTCATTATAATATACGTTGGAAGGATGTTCGTTTTTCCTTGGGAGCATTCGCTATTGGCTTATTCGCAGGTGAATAGGCCTGTAGTAAAATAAAAGGTCAAAGCGGGCTACGATGACTCGTAATGACCCCGTTTTTCTATAACCTATTACCACCCTACTCGTTTAACGATCTGACGAAGACCAACGGACGAAATCGCGTGATGGACAACCGTAACCTGTATATTCACTGGCAGCGCCATAAAGCAACAACGTGCCACCAGAAACCTAAATTAGCCTTTTAAGGATAGCGCTGTTATACCGGCTTGCACGTTACGATCCATAGAGGCATGCAAAATCCGATATCAACTCACTGATATATAGAAACGTTTATAACTATCAATACTGCCTATTACTAAGAGAAATTTTATCAAACATCTATTGATTGACCATAGCTTGAAAGCCAGCGTGACAAAAATATGTAGGTGGCGTAAACTAGGGACTGATTAGGCATCGACAATTCTGACGGTAGTAGGTTCGTTAGACGATACGGTCAGCTCACTACACGTCATAGAGTCGCATGTCTCGCGCTTGGGCTGCCCCGTACAATGTCAATACAAAATCGGACGTACGCAACGGCAACAGCGGCAGCAGCACGAGCGACGATCAGAAGCACATTGACTACGTATGGCAAAAACATGATATTTTATGACAATAGTATAAAATCAAGCCATCGGAACCCGTAAGGAGTGATCGAGTATTGCACTAGTCAAGAACGCTTACGTGTGAAGAGAAGACTGATTTCATAACCACAACAACAGGAGCAGGAGTAGACGAGGATACACTGCTAAAAACAACACAATTCATTAGAATGTTTTGAACTTAGTAATAACTGAGTTGTATGAACGCATTTTATCGTCGTATTGGCTAAAAGCTTTTCTAATTAATATAAACCTATGCCAAGCGGCGAATAGATGGGATCTAATGTACTTGGACCGTAGCAACATATAGCGTTGATGCAAGCGTGAATTGGGGGCCCAGTGATGTTCTAGGTGTAGTGGTGACCCGGAAGTATCGGTGCCGTAGTATGTTTACATATATGCCGTTGAAAAAGGGTTTTGGCGGAAAGTAGCCACGGGATAGTTTTAGAAAGGCACTTGCAACAACGACACACGATGGCTGTTCCTTTGTAGCCCGTATGTAACAGGGCCTATACAGAGCCATCAAAGCAGACTTTGAAATTAGCGATTAAAATCCGTAAAGAAAGTTCGCAGGTAAAGTTTGAATTCAGCTGTTCAATAAGGAAGTGATTTGCTGCAATTTCTTCTTTTTTTCATTGCAGGGTTCAGATCTGAACAGACCCAATCAAATACATTCTGTTAGCAAAACTATGTCCAAAAAGTTTCAGCGGCATGCCTTGACCACGTAAACGTATAAACTTCTATAGGCAAAAAACCGCTTAAAATACTTAGCAGTGGAAGAAAGGGATGCTTTTCGCCAGTTTTTCTGTAGTATGTACAGTCTATACGTAATTATAGACTGTCTAATCAATATCAGCTGCCATATAAGAGACAAGGGAGGATTTTGTCGGTCAAATACTATATAAGGTCACTCTAAATAGAAACCGTTTAAACCCCGTCTCGTTTTCCGCAGAACAGCCGCCAATGTACAATGATCACTGTCGTATTTTTGCTACATACAGTATTCGAATGCAATTACTATATATGTTCTGTGTATTAAATCTATCCTTTAACAGTAAGCGTTGGTTCGCATTCTCGGAAGTGCCTGACCGGCGTATGAAAAAAGAGGACAAACATCCACCAAATCAATATGGAGCATTTGATTTTATTTCATTCAGGTCTTGTCAATATTATTGTGATATAATTATATTAATATCTAATTAACTGTAAACCCGTTTTGGAGCACTACGACGTTTCCAATTCTGTGAAGTGGCTTCTATTGATACGTTCCGCTTATCACCATTTGGCTAACCTGGGTCAATTCTGTAGCGGGCGAGGTACGTTGATAACCCAAAAATTTTGAATGCAATGAATGCTACACCTGATCGTGCTAAGGAAAAGAATTTTTAGGAAGATGTATCGCCATTTATCATTTTTTGTTACAACAGGTTGCAGGTGCAGGCTATCGCCCTTTTGGCCCCGCTAGACCCTGTATCACAGATGAAACAAATCAGCCTTATTGACTAGCATCAGCTGTGAGAGTACCGCCTAAAATATTGTCATATCTACCTCTAACGTAGCTGTTTCCTCCGGAACTTCAGCATTCGCTCAAAACATACTATTCTAAAATTGTGACCTTCATATCTAGCAAATATTCTATCCTATTCTACTTTAATGCGAGCACTGTCTAGAGCTCTCTCATTTTGTCAGAATCTTCTAGTAACTTTGTATTATTCTGCAATTTGCCCGTCTTTCGGTTGCAGTTGTGCCAATCCGTTAACAACATACTGTTATAGAAATAACGCTCTAATTCAGGTGGAGATTTCTTAGATTTCCGCCCGCCACTTGTCGTCTCCAATTAATTTTCGAAACTTCCAAATGATTCTGGGCCCGTTGCGGTGAGCCATAGACCTAATCCTTGCACAGACACATTTAGCGAATCCTCGAGCAGAAAGTAATTTTTGGGTATAGTTCGAAAAAATTTTCCAATATAACTTTTAGAAAGTTTCAATAGCTGCGTGGCATATAGTTTAGTCAGGGCTTAACGTGCTCAAAATAAGCAAAAGACTACGCCTTACGAAGAAGTGTTTGACCGATTGCTGAAACCAGCAGCCCGGCCAAGGCTCAAATCACGTCAGCCGCACAGGGCGACCATCCTGCGCTAGCTCATCTAAGATGAAGAATCAATACGCATATAAAATGTTAGCAGTGTAAAATAGATTAATTATTATGCATTTCTATAGCGGAAGATCAACGGATGCGTGTCTTCATCATGTCTTATTGCTCGATCATGCTCACTTTTCACCTGAAATCGCATCAATAAAATACTGAGGATTAGTCTTCATTGAAAGAAAGACAGATATTCGTAGGATAATATTCTGGAACTGCTCGATTGGTTATTGCGTAAGTCGTCAGCATCGCGTACTTCAATCTCTGTCGCCTTTGTTCAATTTAGGTTTTGCGCAAAAATGTAAAGGACAATGGCACAACTCGATGCTCAAATAACATACATGCAAATTATGCGCCTTATCTAAAAAGCAGTGCTTATAACTGTGTACGGTCCTGCAGACATTTAAAGCTCAGAGGTCTTTAAACAGTACATACATTAAGCAAACGAAGACCAAGTTAAGAAGCTTGAACTCCTAACTTGTCTATTTTTCAATTCAACTCAAACGCCACCTCGGCTAACAAGGACTTTAATGGCCGGTGTTACCTGCTGGGGATCCTGTTGAGACCGAAGACGATGAAGTAGCTATATAACGCATCCTGATACCGTTTTGTGAAGACTCGGTCTCTTCGACGCTAATGTTGGCTGTCTCTCTTTTAGCCACCACGAGATTCAGATGATTAACGGACGTAGAATTGTCTTCACCCGACTCGATATCACTTGGCGACAGATCTTCGGAGCTAGCTATGAAGCATTTATCCTTTGAATCGAATAAACAAGTGAACAAGCTTAGATAGGAATAGTATTATTAGATCTCTCAACCGAATCAAGGTATCGGGCTGTAATTTATAATACATGTTGTTATTCATTCGTGTCTCCTTACTCAATCTCTGTTCTAGCCAATTACCCGTACCACCAGTTACATAGTGTGTTCTGATACTGATTACGCCATCTTACTATTCAGGGGCTGAAAGGTAAGACTAGAATAAAAATGCCATGCAAGCATTTCAGCTAATCTTTAACTTCCAAGATATGCTGGATTTATTGTTATAAGTTTAGCATTTAACTTATTGCTGTAAGAATATTACCTTCTTTATCTAAATTGGGAAATAAGAACTTGCCGACCCGAATGAACGGTACGTACTAAAATTGCCGACACCACACGTGCAGAAACATCATAATTTCGATCTGCGTCTTTCGTAGAACGTGCACTGTCAACTTATTAGGTCCACAATAGAACGGTGTACACTATCCATTGCGCGTCTAGTGCTATTTTGAATAGCCACCAAATTGGGCTTCTTCATATTCTTTTTCCTATTTTTCGATAAAGCCGACTCAATATCAGCTGTGGCAACATGATGCCAGAGATGAAGACTGAACTCCCTATACTTAATTGAAGGCTTCGACTTTCTTCGTCGATACATTGTTGCGTGCTGCATACTTTTCATTCATTATTTATAAGGAAAAGCTGAACTATCCACATAGAGCAATGGTCGAGATGCTGTGGAATCGACTATATGTTCAGCATCTATATGTACATATATACGCGTAAAAACGTTGCTCAATTATAAGGGGAACGACTTAACACGTTGAACAGAATAGAAAAAACCATGTTGATATATCAATAGAATTGCCGAATACAAATGGATCACCTTCGAGCTATTGCTACAACATCCGCAGGATTTTTCCTAATATTTTTGCCGCAACGAGCCATGCGGCATTTTGTTGTCTGTAAAGGTAATATACGATCTTAAAATTCAGCCCATCCCACATACGTGTCTATATATATATATATATATATATATATATATATATATATATATATATATGGATTCATGCAGCGGCCAACTAGAAACAAAAGTGATGCTTAAGGACAACATCGAAAGTTATGGTATCATCCAGAGTGGCGCGACGCTGCAAAATAGCAGACGAACGCCGCTATTCCCCGTCACGATGTTCGACACGATTGTTTTATTGGTCGCTCATAAAAACATGACGCTATACAACTGTACCATACGCAAGCATTGATTTTGCCGTCCATGGTTATGCTAGGTAACGAAAAGCATATTTGCAAAATAATCTCTAGGTTGCTTACAGACTGCCGCTAACGCGTGAGAAAGATATCCATATATACGATAATGAGACAAAGATTTTTTTCGTCTGCTTTAGCAGTTGATTAAATGCTTTCCCTGTCCATTGGCAGGTGCGCCGTCTGTGGCGGGCTCGGCAATTGTTCTCTATTCTATTGTCTAGTACGACGCATTCGGACATCGCTGAGTGCCAAATGACGTTGAGAAACCATGTAATAATAATAATAATAACCATAATCATCACGATAATGATACGCGTTCGGTCTGGTACCTAGATGAGACTTGTAAGTGGATCCCTGTATGTGAAAATTACATCATCCTGTTTCCTTTTAAAATAGAACTCAAGCCAACTGCCAAACAAGTAACACTAATTGCGTCCGATGCCTTCTTCACGGTGTGCAGAGACGGACTCACCACAACTCGTCGTAATTCTGTTAGATTGCCCATGACCTTCAAAAGCATACCCGGATCACTACAATTCCCTGCAAACATAACAGATCAATCATTAAGAATCAACAGAAATGTGCATATGTAAATATTATGATACCTCTGCGTCTTGACGTTTTACCTAATACGTTGTGATGACGTTAAGACATGGGATGATTTAGGGGACGTGACACTGATGAACGCCAGAGCATATCGAGTGTATGTACTGTCAAAGTTGGGATAAGTGATAGATATTTCAATTATATCAAACTTGTTTAAATTTACCGCCACAAACTAGTTAGATGGTAGGTTATGAGTTGTAGCCTAGTCGCAGATGCGCCATCATGAATTAAAGTAAGGCTTTAAAAACGGTGGAATACTTTTGAAAAAATGCGCCCCCTTTCGATAGTCCATATGGTCATCAAGCGAGAAGAAATGTGTTCCGTCTACTTCGATCACTAGGGGCTAATGTACATACGGCGTTAAGCGTATGCGGCCATAGAACTATACATTTCTCTGACGTGACCCGTTGCGGAACGATTGGAGGGAGCATCGTTTCTGCCAGCCTGACATTCGTCGCAGCATCGATCTAGCACCCTATGTGTATTGTATGTATTCTTGAATTGTTGATCAGTTGTTTTATCTACTGAATGTATGTTAAAAGTAGGCAATCAGTATTAGAGTTCAGTGAGTGAAGCTTGTTTTTTTATAGTGATTGATTCGAACTTAAAATCAAACGGAACGCATGATCTAAACGAACGGTTCATTTAGATTTCTTTTACAATGAATAAACAACTATCTAATAGCTAAAGAAGAGCAACTTACAAATCTAGTTACCGATAAAAATCAGAAGGTGCTCACTCGCGTAAGTTTAACTTATGTCTGGTACACGTCGAATCATTTCAAACGAAACTATTCCGTAGTAATATAGCAGCTTTTACGAAAAAATTGTGCGTATAATCCATCATCAAAGAACACGGTTTTATTAAAGTGATTTGAACCAATCTTAGTAACACATATAATTTACCAGTAGGCAATAGTTAATACGAATAATGCGGATATAATTATAATAAAATATACTTTCTTAGAAGCAGCATATATAAATATAGGTACGACCCAGTTAGCGTTGTCGGCGAACAAACGCACCCAGGTCGCGGCCCATAGGACATACATCATAACTGTTTCATTGAGCATCGTATTGTGGACGGCATAAGCCCATAGACACTCCTGTACGTGAAATAAAAGCGTTCATTGTAAAGTTGTCCTTTCGTATAACTTTGTAATTGCTATTTTCTTGTTCAGATTTTCTTGAAAAATGAGATCGCGTGCACCTGCCAACATAGGCCAACTTTGTTATGTGCATTTTAACTTCTACAACAAGTTCGATTAATAGACACGTGTCCTTATCGTTTCGAGTAATTTAACTTGTACTGTGCCGTTTTAGTTGGCTGTTGTTTGGTCTGCTTACTAAACTGCGTCCGACTGTGACTATTTTCCAATATCAGCTTGAAAGAAACTTCTTCATCTTCTTCTTCAAAAAAAAAAGCTTCACACGTCAATTATAAGTTCATTTGTGAATTTAGGTAAGTAGATATTATCGAGAATATTTCAACGTGTTGTTGTTGGTCACTGAAAACATGATCATCATGGGATATGTTAATCGCACACTGCATGTATACAGAAACTCTGCACTCTGCACTTTTGCGAGAGAGAGTTTGTTATGCTTTTCCATAGTATATCTAAGTTTTTTTTTTTTAACTTTTAATACTCACTGAACCATTATATCATTTTATTACGGCACTAACCGCTATGCCGTTGATCGACACGCTCGACCGTTGTTGTGAACACATCTAAGTGTCTGTACAGGAATCCGAATAGTATACACATATACCGAGCATGTCGTGAGATCGGTTTAAGAAGAGTATGCAGTCTTCATTCGTTCTCGAGCTTCGACCAAACAGCCATCGTTGCTATTCGATTAGTCCAACTACGAGCGCCGTTCCGTTAACATGCCTGTCTCTTTCAACTAGACGCATCGCTTATTGCACTATTATGGTCTCTGTTTATTACCTGTTATTGCAACGCTATCCATGAATTACTGCGCCCAGTCTGTCAGCCTGAACCTTATCCGTTTCCAGTGATCCGATATGTCAAAAGATCAACTCGTCGGTCTTGCCATGATTCTTTCCTGTTGTTGTAGTTGTTCTGTACGAACGGACCGTTGTCTATAATGGGTCCATAAGATGGTACATTCACATATAGAGAATCAGCCATCCACATCGCTGTACAAAGGCATGTACGCACGTAATCAGCTAGATGCTACATGTGTCATATAGAAAACCGTTTGCGCTGCTTGTGACTAACTACAGGCGGCCCATATATGTCGATTGAACGTGAAGTACCGAACGACTATTGTATCTAAACAAAACTCGTCCTATTCATCGAGGCCAATTGGACGCCGTCCATAACAGCGTTGATGTGGGAGGAAGCACGAGTGGATGGACGGAACGATGCAGCGGTTTGCAATTCATCATGAAGCCCAGAATATTGTTCCAGAACACGGCATATACTGCGTGCCACTTCTTCGTTGGAAGTATAAACTATTTTGCAGTTGTTAGCAAACGTCGCAAATGTACGGAGGTCATCGATATGAGACCAAATCGCCGAACATATGTAACACGGGCATCTAGAAAACACGGTACAACCAAGGTACCATCTGTCAGTAGGTGACGTCCATCTGATTTTAGGCCTGCTTTCGTATGCGATCAAAATGGTTTTGTTAACCAATAGCCAATTTCAATAAAAATAGAACCACTGCATTGAGAAGCAGAGTTTGAGGACAATAGTTGAATTCTATTGATTAGGCAAATACCAACTGGAAGTATACATAGATGATTGCATCGCAAAGTGTTCGGATGATGACATATAAACTTTAATTGTACACTACAGCATAGGCCATGATGAGCGCACGTTAGTGACGCTTAGAATGATGCCAATTCAGACAAGGTGCGACGCATCATCAGGTACCAAGCAAGTGGGCCTACAAATGTTTATAATTTTTTATTCCTAATGAGTTAAAACTTCGAAAAGAAAAAAAAGTACAAAATGTTCGTATATTGTCGACCCACCGGAACGAAGTAATCTACCTCGGTGGCAATTAGTAAGCATAATAACTGATGACGCAGTCCACCATATGTACATGTTTTGATAGCATATTGTATATAAAAGAAGGTTATATTAAACATGTTGTGTTCATCGCACTTAGTTCTGATCATATTGTCACATCTAAACAGTTATGTGTACGAAATGTACTGCATCAAACATATGGTCGCATATATTCTACCCCAATTCCTCTACCATATAATATAGATCTTCCCCGAGGGTTATTCAGAGGTTACATCATGGCTGTTTAGCTTCTGTTAGTTTTTAAGGCACGAGATCGATTTTTCGGTAGGTAAATATTGTTGCTATGCTTTTGCTGGTTGATTATGGCAGACAGAGGTACTTATTTATTATACTACAAGTCCCCTTTAAAGGTATACTGGTAATGTGTTTTCCGACTAAATTAAGGAACAGTGAAGTGGCGCAGGTTCGAAGCCTGGCGCCGACACGTTCTTTTCGCGCTGGAAAGGGCCAGCCACCCGAGACATTATGCCTGTAGACTCGAGAAAGCTAAGAACTAAAAAACCGTACGGGGTTCGTCTATTCTGTCTAGCAGGGCATAAATAGTTTAAACTAATCGGTATTAGTACGGAAAAAAATAATATTCCATCTGTTAGGTCCATCTGACTGCACATTTTTAGACCAAGAGGTTTGGATCTCTTTGTTAAGTTTTCAAACATAACAAATTTTTCTCCTAGGGAAGGATTAGATATGAGCTCATCAAAGTGCCCTACTACCATTTGCTTCGAACTTCCGGAAATTTTAACTTACACGTTCCGTCTCCAACAAGCATGATGATCCTATTGCCCTTGAAGATTGTTGGATTCTCATTTAATGATGGCAGCGGTTCTCCCAGAAGATGTTCGAAACCGCGCAATCGAGGTGCGTGTGTTTGCTCTCCAGAATCCCTATCGGCAAGGTGGGGGCGCGTCTGACAAACCGCCGATATAGCAGCAAAAACTAATATCGCTATACTCCACATTTCTTAGCTCGAAGATTGCACACTTCACTTATATATTTGCGGCACTTGGCTGTAAAGTTTCAGTTCAGAGTGTTTCCGATTCCAATTCTCGCGGCCTGTCTAGCGACGCTTAAGAGGTACTGGACGGCAATCGGTAAGCACCATCCGCTATTTAAGTATGCCTTGCAATGTTATATATGTTACTAAGGAAAGCGAGTCTTAACGAGCGAAGGATCAAGTGACGGCTATACATTGTCTACATGACTAATATCTCATAGATCTGATCTGTAAAAGGGGGACGAAGTCGAACTCTCGATTCCATTACGCGCACTTAATGTATATGTTCGTACTTGTTATTATGTAGTTTAAGTATATATAACTATAGAGTTAAGTATTATCGCTTGAGCTGTTTTGTGACACGTTAGCCGCTGCCAAACTACATGATTGAAATCAAGGCGGACCATGAAAGTTTTGGAAGGAGCGGTTACAGGACTGCGTGGACAAAGCTTGTTTCGGCCGCGACGGCAATGAAGGTAGAGGAACGCCACATGAAGCGTAGGATACTCGTATGTTTTAGACGGATTCAAGCAAACGTAGGTGCGCAAGCTTCTATCCCATTATCGCTGACAACAATGACATACTATATGATAGCTCGATAACCAGCAGAACATTTGATTGAGTGCGTATCCGCCCGCTCACGCTTGTCGCCGGTCGAGGCAGCGTCGCCGTCGGTAGGTAGGGGTACGGGCTCATGCATGAACACGTAATATTCACGCACAATCATCATCCAAGAGATCTATAAGGATTCGTATTTGTGTAGATTCTGGCGGGCCTATTGATATCTGATCAGAGGCTTAACTCAGCCAGCTATCTACTCATTCTATCAGACAGACTGGTCATTATCGATAGCTGCCGATAAATTGCTGGATTTGGATTGACGCAATCGTAGACGCTTAGTTCAACCTTACGACCAAGGTGAATTCGAAGAATTAAAGCAGATTCGGATAGTAGATTTCATTAGATCACACATTACGGTTACATGGCGTGTGAGTCATGTGCCGATAATAGTGCCAGTGTGTGAGGCCTGTTAGAGACAGTTTAATTTGATTAACGGATTTTCTCAACATTGAGTCACCACTATTGATCTAGAAAGATTTCTTAGAGATTTTCGGAAATATGAATATAGCCGGGAAGTGAAAAGTAACTGCGCATCTACTTAAACTATATAACTTACAATCGTGGATCTTTTCTAGTTTCGAATTATTTTCTTATTCGAAATTAAGAATTGCTCTGCGGGCACTCTAACGTTACAAGCGGATAGTCCATTCAGATGTCACAGCATATATATGGAGAAATCATCGTTGATTATTCCAAATTGATTTCCCGAATTACTTCTAACCAGATACGACCAGAAAAATATAGCGGCTATCATCTCTCATGGGGTGTTACAGAAAAAGCGTCGAGTTTTATTGTAGTTCTGAGGGATACTTGAGCAAAGCTTTTCGTGCCATAGAACAAGTGGAAAAATGTCACAGCTGGTTGCAAGAACTGGATCAATCCAACATTTCTTGCCACGATGTCGTTATCACGTTTTTTTCAATCATAGATATATTCGTTTCTGCGCAGAGAACAGAAAAGATAAGTGAGGGGTTGCGTTGTGTATTTTACAAACCGCTCCTGACTTTGGACTTACCCTGCGACACCCACGGTGCCTTCCCGAAATGGCAATTATGCTTTCTTTTTTTTTACATGATCGTTGTCTATAGCTACTGTTTCGCAAGCAAGAACGTTTACAACGGCTTGGAACATGTGCTTTAATGTGATTACGAAAATCATTTGTGTATGGAGAATTTTATAACAATAATAACGTTTACAGAAAATGGATGTTTGTGCCAAATGTTTATTTTATTACAGGTATTGGTTTGCCGCTTAAGCCATTTTCAATCGAAACAGCTTGTCTTAACTAAGATTTTGCTCTGGGACTATAATTACTATTGGGTATGTCAATAGGAACTGCTCTTTATGTTCTTATCTAAAACGTATTTGTTAACATCCTGTAATAAATCTGTTCAGGATGTTGAAAGCGTCATTATATTAATTCATACTTATTTGATTTCTTAACGGATCGGTGAATTGTTTTGCCTCGTGGTGAACTTTCTGGTAAACCCTATTTTCACCTGACTTAACGGTGCATTTACCACCACCACCCCATTTGGGTTGCAAAGCGTTGGGTCGTCTAAGATTGTATGAATTGCGGATCTGTTGTCTGTGCGACCTGTTGTCCTAATACTAAATGGAGTTTTTCCTTAGAAGACATTTATCCGACATATGATGTAACAGAATCACTTTGTTACTCCAGTAATACTCTTGTCATCTATGTTGGAACGCTATATGTAAGTTAACGAGCGGTCAGCTCAAAGTGAATCGATTGCAGAGAGATGGCATGGCCAATATTTTCGATTTAATAGATATGTCAAATTGGATCCAGGTTTAAGGTTCTATTCCGATAGGGAAAATCAAAGCTAGTGCCGGCGTTTCAAGCAGAGCAACAACGCAAAATGTTCTTGCCTGTTTCGGTAAGCCTGAGCGTTCCTGATGAAACTAAATTCTGAGCCAGAGTGCACTCTATAAACTGCGGGAAAACGCTTCTCAAAAGCTTACAAGAGGAGCTTTACGGCGATAATCTACATTTATAACTATCATGGGGTACTGTGTTCCATACGAACTTGTTAACACGCGTACATTAGTTGTGTGTACTTATGTGGATACTCGTGGCCGTATTAAAAAGAAAACAAAAAAAGAAGAGGAAAAAAGGTGTGGAAGTAATTTTGGAAAATATAGCAATCGTAAATACTTTTTTTTTTGCATACTCCTTCATAGAAGTTTATTGCATATGGGGCCTATTACCTAATGCAACTTAGAGGAATTTTGAGATATATGTGTAGCCCCCATTTATTATATCTGAAACATCACGAATTAATGAATCAATTTAGTCATGCTTTTAATACTTATTTAATTAAAGCTGGAACTTTGGAATACTAAGTTGACTGCCGTTAAGCATTTTAGTTAAACAAATTGCGCGTCAGCCACTGACCTGAAAAATTTGTCTCGTGCTTTTACAGGAACCGGGTTCGATAGTGTTTCAATAGCCACTCGTCCTAAAAACAAAGTAAATTCAATCTTTCACATTGTATTGGCTTACGTTTTTTCGTAAGGCTAATTCAAATAGATTGCAACTATCTATAACAACCAGAACCCTACTTGTAGTTACACAAAAAGGGCATGATTGGAGGAATGGTGAGAAAGGAATTTACATAACTACTACTGACTGCCAGCAGAAGACGGCTTGAAAACAGTCTACCAAAGTCAGTCAAGAGCGACTCAAGTAGTCTGTAAGTGAATTAAACAGCTTAAAAATACAGATTGTTGTATTGTCTTACCTACGAATCAGACGCTAGTTCAACGGTTAACTCTTAAGCGTTCTCTGATCCTTCGACTGTAGAGATGTTCCAAAAAGCTATCACTGTTACTCTAATGTGATTCACAGAAATATACCGGCAAAATACTATGAACATACGGCTTGAACCAACCCGCAATTAATATTCTAGATCATCTATTTTGATTATAGCTACTTGTATAAGTGAAGTGTTTGAGTGAAGTAGTAATTGGCTTCCAATTGGATAGGTTTGCTTTTTTTTTTTTCTTTGAAACGTTAACCTTTCTTTATGTGTATCGCGTATACCGGTGTGCGTGGACCGTAAGATGTCAGAGATGAAGATTTTTCTGCCTTACACATTTGTCCGCCAAGTCACTTGTCGGAATCCTGTATAAATATTTCGAATCGCTTTCTTGGAGCCGAAAGATTATTCACGCGGGTATTACTGGCCGACGCGTCCCTAGTACAGTTTAGTACATCGGTTCTCCAGATTCAACACGGTTAGCATTACATATCTTGTTAGTATTTCGTGTAGCAAGAACTTCACGCCAATCCGTTAAGTAGAATGATGCAGCATTTGAAGCGGACCCTAAATTGTACAATGTTTATTTGAATGTTCATTGGTAGTTCGTTAACAAGAGTTAGAGGCAGATAAAGACCGTAATGTGAACTACTACTAGCTTTTAAAAGACATGGGGTGTGAAACTCAAAATTAAGGTTTACGTACTTCCCTTGAATATACCTGTGGACGTTAGAGTAGGCCGAAACGAGCCAGTTTATTAAAAAGTTAAACTTTTTTTTTCTAAATAATGATTACTATTTGACGTAGATGTTAATAAATAGGCTTATTATCTCGCTCGAAATATCGTTTAACATCCTGTAATATGTCCATCGAAGTGTTCATAGGATGATCATTGTTGGGAACACATTTGATTTAATCCAGTCTATTAGCAAGTGTGTAAATTGTTCTGCTTTACAAAAAAAGTGTTTGGTGCCCATAGACGGGGCTTTTTCAGTCTATTCGAACACTCAAAACCCATGAAACATCCGCTAAAATCAGTGAAGGCCGCTTAGAATCAAGAAAGAACAGATATGAATTATTTCCGAAGTTTTAGTTCGCGTTTAAATGGTAGGGCCTTATTTACCAAGTAGATGTAAACAGAATCTTAGTCAAGCGCACATACCGCCACGTTTACAGTTTACGAAGTCAATAGAATACGCCGCCATGGAGAACTTGCCACAAAATCATAGGACTGACCACAGCTTGAATCAATTAAGTTATCCATTTATCTATCTCGATAAAATATCTATCTCGAACAGATCGTCATTGTACATACAGTATGTTTCTATATCGGCTTTTGAAAAATGAACGTAAACGGTCTCCAAAAGTGTAAAAGGCATCGTTCCAACGCAATCAATACATCAGCTAAATATCGCCCTCTTTTTGGGTCTGTCAGCGTTTTGGTTGTTTCTGTCGACTGGGATTGAGCAACGTAGCGCTGAAATACACATTCATTCTTTTTTTTCTTCACTGGCCTTTCGTCAGGCTGATTTCTTTCGATTTTACAAGGACTTACAAACCTGAACATTTCTGTACTATTCATTAGGCCATTGCCCTGTCTACGGTGCATAGGCGATACGAATGTCGTTGTAATAATGCTATTATAACGTTGGGAAGACGTGACTTGCGGTATAGCAGTGGAGGAAAACCTTGTTTCTCTAGCGTTTGCTGCGACTGATCGTACCAAAGCCATCCGGACATTTTATGTG